TTGGGAAATGTGCCCTGGCAGTGTACAAAAGGTCAGCCATGCTTTGAAGAGCCTCGTGATTCCCATGTCCTCCCCTTATTGTACCCCGCACGCCCGCGATCGTCTAAGGTTGTTGCATCCAACACGGAAATAAATATTTGACAAGCTTACATCTTAATACCTTAACAACCTATTTTTCTATATATATAAATCTACCTCCCAGACAACACTCAACATATGCTCCCTAAACTTCACCATGGTATATAACCAGGAGGAGATTGGTAGTATACGCACATTAACTCTTTGTGTTTTTCAGTGCACAGTTCGAAGACAAGTGGTGATGATGAACAAAGATCCGTGTATACGAAAATTAACAAACCCAAAACCGGGTTTTGCACCATCTAAAAGAAAAATTTAAACAGATAAAACTAGTGAAATGACGAAGCTCAAAACCCTTTTAGGACATGGCTTAGAATTAAGTGACTCTGCAGCGAATAAAACACCTGCAAAGGAGACTGAACAATCAACAATGGACTCTGAAAATGTGGTTGAAATATCTGTTAAAAAGTTACTAAACATAATGGTGGAAGAAGCTATTAGTAGTGAAATAATCAAAACAATGGAAGAAGAGTTGACATTGTTCACGTTGTTATGTTATGAGTTGACATTGTTGTTGATATGGTTTTCTAATGTGGAGGACAAAAAAACCTGTGGAAGAATCATCGAGGAAGTTTCTTAGTAAGCAATACGTCTTATCGTCTGATGATGAAGATTTGGTGAAAACGATATCCAAGGTATTGGCAAACCAGAAGTCAACATAAACTAAATTAGAGAACAAAACAATCCTAATAGAAATCAATGAAAATATCTATTTGTAAAGAAGCCAAGAAAAGGTGAAAGATGCACAAATTAGACAAATAGTGTTTACTGCATTTCTTATACGAAAAATCGTGAAAAGGAGGAAAAACCAACCTTTAGTGGGAGTAATGAAAACGATCGCCATCTACAGATAGCAACGCAAGAGTTGCATAGTCAAATCGACCCCCTTTTATAAAAAAAGAATGATGAAAAAACACTTATGACAGTTTAAGAAAGAAGTTTGCGGAACTGGAAAACGAAATGGAGTCTTTTGACAAAGTGAAAAATTTCAACCGAGAAAACCGAAGAAACTGCACAAGCTCAAACAAAATGTATTGTACAAGTTTCTTGGATTTTACGAAGATCAAAATCAAAAATTGCAGTTAGAATAACCAAATTATCTTATTAAAGCTCCCTAAATCTCTTACTGTACCAAAAAAACATTATTAATTGTAAATTTTAGTATAACTTAGAGAAACAGCTTTTTGAATTCACAGCATTGTAAAGCAATAATAATATTACAAAAATAGTTGATAAAATACAAAAAAATAAAAAAAAAATAAAAAGTAAACTGTCGTGTGAGTGACTATTTGCTTACCTCATGCCTGATGAGACCCAATAAGGTCGAAACAGTTACTTTTGTTCATTGTTTGTCATATTTTAAAGTTTTAACTATCACATATACATAATAAATAATTTATTATGGAAATGAGGAAATCGGGATTTTAAGTGTAAAAATGAGTCGACAAGTTGCAAAACTTATTTACTCAATTTTTTAAAAATTGAGTTAACTCCAGAATTTTGCAGAGTCCGTTCATCTCTATCGATATACTTATTATTATTTTAAATAGTTTAAATAAAACCGTTCTAAATTAATTTGTTCATTACTCTTAATTTTACTTACACCAGGAGTAAGTACAAATGCAACCTTTGATGAGGAGACTGCTATTCATGTTACTTATTCTCGTTCTGAGTTATATTTTATTATGGGTTTGATGCTGTCATACATGCCAGTGCTAACAATGGTGGGCAGGGGATTGGGGGGGGGGTGTTTTGATGTTGATGTTGGTTTTGATCTTCTTTTCTTTTTACCTCCTTCTATACCCTTCCCAATATCAGAAGTTGGTTGAGCAAATTTTTCTTTGTTGATGGCATCAAGAAGAGAATCTGAAAAAAAAATCCAAACCAAACAAACTTAAAGATATTTTTTGGGATAAACACTTCTGGCTTGACAATATCGATGAACTGTCTTGTTATTTAACACTTCCGGATTTAGACCGAACCCATTTTCTTCTTATTTTTAATAGAATCCGGCAAATTATTATTTTTGGGTTTGGTTGATTAGAACTTCTATCATAAATGTTGGCTGCAAAAGTGGTTAAGAATTTATGGTTTCAATTTACATTAACCAAAATAGGCTTACAACAATTGACAGTGATAGTTAGTTGTCAACCTATAACTAAAGAAATCTGTTAAAGCTTGTAAATAAAGCCCAAAGGCGAGAAGAGAACTATTGCTTTCCAATCTACTCTCTGAATTAAAAACCATATGGATACATTTGAGTCAATTCAATCCTAAATGAACTGAAACAAACAATACAAAGAATGGGCAACCAGCTAGCAAGCAAATTATTAGCAATATGGTTACGGTAGGGCTATTATCTCTTTAGGTATTTTGAGCTAGATCCTAGGACTCGCACATCCCACACTTCCCACGCTGAGTTGGGGGGCTCCTTTTTAGCCAACAATTTTCTAACGTTGCCTTTACATCCCACACTTCCCACGCTGAGTTGGGGGCTCCTTTTTAGCCAACAATTTTCTAACGTTGCCTTTACATCCCACACTTCCCACGCTGAGTTGGGGGGCTCCTTTTTAGCCAACAATTTTCTAACATTGCCTTTACATCCCACATTTCCCACGCTGAGTTGGGGGGCTCCTTTTTAGCCAACAATTTTCTAATTTTGCCTTCTGGTTAGTAACATGTTTCTGAAGATATTAGCCAAGATTTTAGTACGGTTCCCACACTATGAGCCCTGATAAATTCTACAACCACATAATATTTTCTAAATTTTCCATCTTTACATATTACTGCAACCTGAAAAACAAAGCTTAGACTAGCCTATTTCTTAAAACAGATAGACATAACAGCTCATGTCGTTGTTTTAAAATATACTACTACGAGATAATAAAGTTATTAAAATAAATCTTAACTCTCCCCCCGCTATTTAATTTATAATTCAAGTATTATGTTAGCTTAACAAGTCTGGTGTTATACAACGCTTTTTTGTTCAAGAGTATGTTATTGTTTTCAACAAGGAATGCAGAAAATGTTAACTTAAGAAATCTTTTTAAAAGAAACGGATTTTAAGATTATAGGACGGTCATTTAACTTATAATGAATTCTGTAGGAATATGGGAAAATAATATGATAAAGGAAACCATTTCAAATTAACTTAATGATATATAGGCTAAATTTGAGAATAACAAAGTATACAAACTACAACTTGAGCATAACCAAGTACAAACTTCCAAGCTGTTTGAGTTTAACAATTTTGTTGAACTATGCCTAACTAATAAATTAAGTATTTAAGGTCTCAAAATATATTACTTGTAGTATATTTTTCAAATTCAAATTCTTTAGTGAGTCAAAACTTTGCATTATTATACAAAGACAGGAGTATCTTAGTAGATTAAGTTTCATTATTAGAAATGATTAATGTTAGCTCAAAAATTTAATTTTTATCTGAATACAATACAGTAGTTGTAGTTGATAAAAATTTGACCCTACAACTGATGAATGAATCTTGGTTTGTACATAAAGATTATATAACTAAAGCAATTAGTATAGCATAAATAATAACCTGTAATTAGCGTGGATGGCATGGTTCCATTTTGATTCCTTTGTTGTAGATAACTTTTTAACAGTATTTATCCTGTTTGCCGTAGATTATTTCCTTCAGGTTCTGATGATCAATCTGAATTAATTGTATTAAAGACTAGACTTTAAAAGTACAAAATTGGAACTATTTTATTTTGTGGTTCTTATAGTGAATCACTCAATGATCTATTCCCGTAAAAAAAAACATTATCATTTGAACTTGACCCACTTACAAGCTATTGAAGATATTTTGTTTGATTATGAAAAGTAAAACTTTAAAACACAAAATATTCTAGTTCATCCACCTCCACCTAGAAATATTCTTCCCCTATTATACCCCCTCCCCCACCTACTCCAACCTTATTTAGTAGAGAGGTGATTTCGTAAGGAGCCATTTCGTTAATACATATACCATGTTCCGATGCAATACTTGTGAAGCTTTATTTAAAGATGGACTGCTTTTGAACATTCATGAAGATATTGAACAAAATATAGACTTAATAGAAATTAATAGGAATGAAGAACAACTTGAAGCAATAGATAAACTATTAGTTCAGCACGAATTTTCAAGACCTTTCGGTGAAGATCATACCTACGACACATTCCGATGAAATACTTGTGCAGCATTATTTAACCCTAGATCTGGCGTTAACAAAACTTTCAAAATGGCAGTGATTTTTGTGCCTTTTGTAGTGGTAAAGTACTTTTCACCATTTTACAACTTTGTATAAAAGTATTATACATTGACTTTTACTAGAGTGGATATATTGTTAGCAATGATAACATTATTTTAGTCACCATGGATATTATAAAATTCAAAATAAAGTTTGAAATGACAAAAAAATTTACAGAAAAAAATGTTATTACAAAGTATAAAAATAAATATACATCATAACATTAGCAACCAGGAGAGTGACATAAGTAGGACTAGATGAAAAATGTAAGCCCTATCAGGAGGGAATGTCTCTAGTTGTCTGAATCAGATTCTGACGCAACTGCCGCCTCCTGTTGCACTCGACGCCCACGTCTATTCCAGCGGAAGTGCTGCAGGCTTTCGTAACACTGAGGATGGACCCCTACACCACAGCCCAGACAACTATAAAAGCTCCTGCAGCGCGTCGGTTGTTCCTCCAGGACACATACCTCGCAGTTCCTTTTAGACTGCGTTTTCGTCAGGGTATGGGCTTCGTTCTGGACTTGGGTGACAGGTATTTCACCCTCCAAAGGCTGCACGACGTTACTGCGTACCAATGACATGACTATGTCGTTCATAAACTCAACCCTACTCATAGGCTGTTGGTTAGACAGCTAATAGGGAGTAGGTAGGCATTGAAGATCGCCATATCCATGTAATTGTACACAATTTTCTTCCAGTACTTTTTGGTCTGTCGTGAACAAGTCACATGGTAGATACTTTTTTCTTTACTATCAACACCTCCCATGTGTTGATTGTAGCGATGTATCACCATGGGCTTGGTCACGACGTCATACCCCCTGTTTACTTCGACGTTTTCTGCATGACAAGCAGTGGAGATGAGGTGGACCGGTTTACGAGTGGCTTTCTCCTTGAATTTCAGCAAAAGGATGTTCTCATTCCCTTTCCTGAAATACAATGATTCCCCAACACAAAGCTTGGCCTGCAGAACCGTTTTTGACAGCTCCTTACTCCTCTTGTTCACTGTACCAGTCAAGTAAGACTTGGCTTCGTACAGTGAACGCGCCAGAGGTAACTTTGTGTAGTAGTTGTCAGTAAACAGGTGGTATCTCTTACGCAACAGATTGCAGCGGTCCATAAGGTACAGCACGACTTTTTGAGTGAAGGCGAGAGGGCCTTCAGCCAAAAAAATCCCTCCCAGAATACATTACGCTGTCTAACACGTAACCGGTGCGTAAATCGCACAGTTCAAATTTCTTTATCCCTAATCGAGCATGACGCTTGTTTGGCATGTATTGAATGAAAACGCACCTGTTTTTCATGCCAATCATGCTTTCATCAATTCATATTTCTTGATGCGGGACAAATAAATTGCGAAAAGCTTCTACCAATGGGTTAACGAAGTCGCTCACTTTAACCCACCCTGGGTGACCCCGGGGTATTAGTGGACGACTCGACACCTGGAACATTGACAGAATCAACTGAAATCTTCTAAGCGACATGGTGTTAGGAAAAAAGGCGTAATCAGATTAGGCACAGTCGACCATTTAGATTCAAGCCTTTTTTTCTTCATCAAACCCATGTTGATCAGAAGCGCCCAGATTTTTTTTAATTTCCTCAACTGTCACATCGACCCAACTATACAGGCGAGTATTCGGTCGATTTGTCCCATTGAGAACTCGTTCAGCAATGTTGTTTTTTTTTAACTCAATAAGCCTGTCAACTAAGGCCTCAAAAAAGTCATCAACCGGCATAGTTCGAGTGATTAGTTCTGCTCGATCAGTACTAACCCACTGCATAAAAGTAATATCATCAGTTTCAGTGCCTAGTAGCTCAATAAGAAATCGTCTACCTGGGCAGAGCTCACAAAGATCAAGCATGCATTCACTACTCTCAGAGTTGCAAACCAGTAAATCAATTAAGTCTTTGTAATCAGTACCTATTGAGGTTTGCTCCAGCAATCATAAGTTTTACATTCTGGTGGTACTTGCACACACATACACTGTGTGTACCAGATGACCCAGGTAAAACACACCACTTGGGCCTTAAGGAGCAAAAATCTGACCTACCAATTTTATGGCTAGGATATTTTTCTTTGAAAGCCACAAACAACTCATTCAATGTATACAGTATTAGTATTTTTTGTTTATAAACTTTGTGACCCAATGAAACACATTCCTTTTTCCGGGGGATAACCGACTATTTTCATCGTCTTCATAAAACTTAATGACATCATTAACAACTTCATTACTTAATCTGTGGCCATCCTTATTTTTTAATTCAGGTAAAACACCTTGACTTTTCATTAGTTTTCGTGATAATCGTACTTGATAATCAGTAACATCAAACTCTTTACATATCCGTTGTTTGGACCAAGAACTGGGTAATCACTTATGAAAAACTTGAAGGTGTTCAAATTTATGTGGATGATATAACAATCTGTGGCAATGATCAGGCTGAACATGACAGGAACTTGAGCAATTTCATGAAAGCTGTTTCCAAATATAATCTTACCTTGAATAAACATAAATGCAAGTTTTCTACAGCTGTGATCCATCTATTAGGTTATGTAATCAGTCATAAATCAATAAGACCAGTTCCAGATCGTTTGCAACCACTTCGAGATCTTCCCATTCCAACCAACTCAAATTCTCTTCACAGAGCTCTTGGTATGTTCTCCCACTATTCACAATTCATTCCTAAATTTTCTGAAAAGGTGAGCTGTTTAAACAGAAGTTCATTTCCACTGAATGAAGAAGCTAAATGTGTATTCCAAAGACACACAAGACATTGTTAATGCAGTAACTTCTTCGATTGACTGTGATGGGTTGTTAACAGTTGAAACTGATGCATCAAATCATGCAATAGGAGCAGCTTTGACTATTGATGATAGACCAGTAGCGTTTTTCTCTAGAACACTAACAAACTCGGAACAGAAACATTCATCAATTGAGAAAGAAGCATATGCAATAGTTGAGGCTTTAAGAAAATGGAGGCACTATCTCATAGGCAAACACTTTCGCCTTATAACAGACCAACGATCTGTAGCATTCATGTTCAGTGATCGGAATGCGAGCAAAATCAAGAATGATAAAATAATGAGATGGAGAATTGAGTTATCTTTTTACAAGTATGAGATTATTTACAGAGCTGGAAAAGAGAACAAAACAGCAGATGCTTTGTCCAGGGTGTGTTCATCGATGGAAGGAAGTTTATCAAACCTAGTATCACTACATGACGCTTTATGTCATCCAGGAGTGTCTCGAATGTATCATTGGGCTCGAAGTAAAAACTTGCCTTATTCACTGGATGAAATCAGGAAAGTAACTTCCTCCTGTCGAACCTGTTTAGAGGTGAAACCTCGATTCCACAAACATGAAGGACAACTTATCAAAGCTACTCAACCATTCGAAAGACTGAATATAGATTTAAAAGGGCCACTTCCATCCAAAAGTAGAAATCGTTATCTTTTAATAGTCGTAGATGAATACTCTCGATTTCCATTCGCATTCCCTACTCAATACACAACTGCTAGGACTGTTATTCCGAGACTTAAGGAACTTTTCTCAATATTTGGAATACCGGCTTATATTCATTCTGACAGAGGTTCATGTTTTATGTCTCAAGAGCTAAAATCATTTTTATGTTTACTAGGAGTTGCTACTAGTCGTACAACAGCTTACAATCCTCAGGGTAACGGACAAGCTGAGAGGTATGTTGGTATTATATGGAAGACAATCGAACTATCACTTAAAAGTAAAAATCTGGACATATCTGATTGGGAAAAAGTACATTTAGAAGCTTTGCACTCTATCCGGTCGTTATTGTGTACTTCAACAAATACAACACCACATGAAAGACTATTTCTCTTTTCTAGAAGATCTAGTAATGGTAAGACAACTCCCTCGTGGCTCATGAACCCAGGTCCAGTGCTCATAAAACGGTCTGTCAGGAGCTCAAAATACGAACCACTCGTTGAAGAAGTACTGCTCCTTGAGGGCAATCCTGAGTATTCTCACATAAGATATGCAGATGGCCGTGAAACTACAGTGAGTTCCAGGCATTTAGCACCTGTAGGAGAAGTGTCATGTCATGAAGAAGACTCAAACTCCAATCTACGAGATGAAGAAGACTCAAACTCAAATCTACGACATGAAGAAGGCTCAAACTCAAATCTACAAATAAATTAAAAAGTTCTGAAGTTGAGGTCGAAACTGAGCCTATCTTCCAAGAAGAAGAAATACTGAATCAAGACCATGTTCCTCTAAGGAGAAGCTGCAGGAGTAAACACGCACCTTTGTATTTAAAAGACTATGTCAGCTAGAAGGGGAAGAATGTCATATAATTCCTTTCTATCTGTACATTGAAACATCTGTTCAAATGTTTAGAAATTGTTTTTGTTTACTTTGATGTTTTGGTTCATATTGTAAACTTTGATATCATGCTAGATTCGTTGTTCAATAAAGCCTAACTAAAGGTTATTTCGTTTATAATGGTTTTATTCATTCAATCTAGAACACTCTGGGTCTTTTTATTTGGAAAATATTTAACTCTATCAGAGGGACCTATTTTAGAAACATTTCCATTTAAATATTTGATTTCCCTAGAATGCAAATTCTCAACCCCTTTGTCAGCTAACTCGTCAGCCAAAGCCTTCTTTACCGCATCATCAAGGGTTAGGTTAGGTTTCCTTAGAAAATAATTTTGTGTTTGCTTATTCCTAATACCTGTAGTGATGTGATTTGATCTAATATTTCTTCTTGAAGTCGCTCCTCCGTCCCAAAACCTCAATGAACACTGAGTTTTTTCAAACTACTTAAGAAATCATTAAATGATTCATTTTCTCCCTGTTTCCAAGCACGGAATCTTTGCTTTTCAACACTCAGTAGAGGTTTAGGTGAAAGTTGGGAACATAAGGAATTTTAAATTTAAATAGAGCTTAGTTCTTTAGTTTTTGGCCAAGATTTTGGTTTTAATTTGTTGTAAATCTTCTGACCCACACCACTAATGAACAATAAAAATATTTGTATCCTGAGTTTTATGAGAATCATTTGTTAGACATATTTTTGTAAACATTAATAAATACTCCTTCCGCAGCAAACCTGCAGACTAAGGGAATTTTCATCTGTCTGAACATAGTTTTACTGAAATGTGTTAGAAAATTACACTATTGATGGGTTTGGAACTAATGTGATAGCTCTTCGTTTGAAGTACAAACTATTCAACATGTTATTTGATTACACCTTAAAATCTATCATTGTCTTTGTATTGTAGGTAGCATTAATAAGTGTTCAAAGTCTCAATTATCATGGACGTAGTCTTATCCTCTAACATAGTAACATAATAATAAATCAATAACTTACCTAATATAATGCTAATATCCAATGCAAAATAACAATCCAATGTACCGTTGTAGACGTAATTGATAACGGATAACGTAAAACAAAACAATGGTAGCACTACGCCTCACAAAGAACAATATGTCATGTATCGCTCAAGTATCACTCACATCCACAGCTAACCAATACAACGCAACTGTCAGCAGTTATGTACGTGGTTTTCTCACCTCCGCGGTGAAAAATAGTCTCAAGGCCAAGAGTTTTGACAAGCCGTGGAAGTGAAAGTTCTTCGCCCCTGCCAAAACTGTTTCGCACGTTTTCCTATTGCGATTCCTGTTCTCAAAATTAAATTTAAATAAATATATACTTTTGCAAAAATATAAGATGTAACATTGCAATACGACAACATACAGAATGTTTCAGAACTCCCTACCAATATTTTAGGGCATTTTTCCTGGGTAGGAATCATATCTAAATATCATTTAAATTGTCCGGAAGTCAATTGAGTGGTGCAATATTTTACTACAAACCAAATGTTGTGAAAAATGGTTTTATAGTGACTCTTTCTAGTTTATAACAATCGAAACCCACTATTAGCGCACAGTTAGTAGATTACGATTAGTAAAAATAATACAAAACAGTAACTAAATACTGCCTTCAAGGACGACACTTGATGGCCATCAAGAAAACACACAGGGATGTTATTTTTTACATTATTTTAATGAAGAATTATATGTTCGCTAAACAGTAAACCTTTTATAAAGCCAAATATACTGTATATTTAGACGAAGAAGTAGGAAGAAGGAGGAAGCCGTCCTTCTAGGTTTGTATCAATCCCGACATGCAGTGCCCGAAACCTCCACCAATACCGAGCCAGATACAAGTCACGTGACGCGATTCTCGTATCTGATTGGAGACTGACACCGGCTGTAATAGAATAGCCTAGTTCTTCTTTCTTTCTCTAAGGTGACTCCCCTTGAACTAGGCAGTCCCTGGAATGTACATGACTCATGCAGGGGGGTCACATTCCATGGATTGCCTGGCGAGATTACTCCTCTCCCACATGTCATAGTATGAGTAAAATAACAATGATTCACCCTGTCCTTCTAGTCGCGGCATTACCACTGAGGATGCCCCATCACAGCATGGGTAAAAAGTGTTGTATTGTACGTAGTGTATAATAAACTGAATAGGCGCGGCTCATACTGAAAAACTGAGAACCCAGTGATGACATCGAATGCTTTAGCCTACTAATGAAAACAATATACAACAACGCCTAAAAGATAAATAATCTACATGCTTAAAACAAATCATAAAATACATTAAGCGACTAGAAATAAATGAAAATCCACATGCATAAAATTGAGCAACAAGACAATTAATGGGACTAGAAATAGGTAAACAAAGGAATAATTTGAACATCTAAAAAAAAAAAAAATTACATACATGCAAGGGATTATTTTACCATAGATAAAACATAGTTATGTTTGATCTATGATTTTACGAAGATGGAAAAACACTTAAAATGATGAAAAGTCAGTAAACGTCAGGTAGCCCCATCGGTCGAAATTTGGTTCTCTTAATATGCGTACTATTTCCTTGACTTGAACATTGTCCACATCATCGTTGATTGGCCACTTGAACTTCTTTTTTTTAAGAAACTTTCCAAGAACTTAACCGTTACACTTTTTGCATTTCCTTCGCCGTTAATTGACAAAATTTGTCTCACATAGTTTTTCGGTTCATCGTTGTTCATATATGGCACGACTACCCACTGGCTTTGTCGGAGATTGTCTAGATCTAGTGGCAGAGGTGTCTCTTCCACGGGAGATTCTTCTTGGGCGTGCACTCCTTCTAGGTCTTCCTCAACGTCGTCGCCTTCTTCGGACTCGTAATCGGATCTTCTCTTTTTTTTAGCCCTCACTTCGTCCATTTCCTTTCTTGCTTTTTGTCTACCTTCCCGCAATCGTTTCCTTTCCTCCTTCTCCTTGTCTGTTCTTAATTTATCTTCTTCTTTTTGCTGATAGAAATTTTTCCATTCTGCAGACGTTGCCGCGCTTGGAAATTATTTTTTTTCCTGATGGTTTTTGATTTTGGTGGCTTCTGTTCAGGCCAGTAAAGCGCGTCTTTAAATGGTGTCGTCATTTTTGCCTTCATATTTTGCGGGGTCAAGGTCGGTGTTTTGGGTGAGGATCGATTCGGTGTTTCCGGGGGGATCATTATGGAGTTTTGGTCACACTGCGAATTAGGAGTCTGTGGGAAATTGGCAGGTGAGCTTAGGTTTAAAAGAAAAGATTGGTTTGATAAGTTGGATAGGTTGAATGAGAGGGGAGAGGGAATATCAATCGGGGAAGAGGTTGTGGGATCAAGATGGGAACATGATGGTTCGGTGTTTAGATATAAATCTGGGTTTGTCGATTGTCCCAACAGTGGATTTTTGATGCAGGGTTGATTTGTTCTGTGTATTTTTTTCGACTGTAATTACCGGCACTTAGAGTTCGATAGGAACTAATATCTTAAAAAGATGTTAATCCATTAAAAAGAGACCTTCTTGATTTTTCATTAAATGCAACTATATTTACAAGTGCCCCAGTTTTTTGTTGAATTCCAACTATATTCTTAGCAAAGTGTTCTACAGTGACTTTGTCTCGTTCACAACCCATGGGCGAGCAAATTAGTTTTTTTAGTTTTAGTTTTAGAAAATCTTCTGTTAACTTATTGAATGCTAAGTCAAACGAGGCTTTTGTTGGTTTGCTGTAGTAGGTCTTTTTGGTCACTAAACCATACACGGAAGCACCCTCCAAGGTTCTTTGTCTGGTGAGATGGTTATTTACAAAATCTTGAATCTTGGGCTTTCCAAATCGCTTCTTGAAAACAACTACTACTTCAGCGCTCATTTGTTTTTCATCATGAATGTCTGTAGAGATAGAATGGGCAAAATCAGTATCTCAATGCTGATTAAAACTTGTTATAACATTATTTATGTTTACCTCGGTTACTGTGATTTGAGTGTTACTAGTTGGCTTGTATGTTTTATCATTAGTCATTACCCTAGGTGGAACAGGATGATTAGCTGGTGGATCACAAGATGATGGATTTCGTTGTCACAATAAACTCGGTTGGATGTCGTCAAATTTTACATATGTCCTTTTTGCTCTGTATAATGGCGTATGAAGTAGACGAAGAAGTAGGAAGAAGGAGGAAGCCGTCCTTCTAGTTTGTATCAATCCCGACATGCAGTGCCCGAAACCTCCACCAATACCGAGCCAGATACAAGTCACGTGACGCGATTCTCGTATCTGATTGGAGACTGACACCGGCTGTAATAGAATAGCCTAGTTCTTCTTTCTTTCTCTAAGGCGACTCCCCTTGAACTTGAAATTTAGACTGTTCCACTAATCGATATTCAGTTCCCGCGTAAATTATTGCTTTAAATGATTCTGAAATGTTTCATATTATTTTTGTTTGCCATTAGTTAATTAATTATTCCCTGTAAATTCATTTGACCCCACTACATTCGGGAAGATATGTACATGAAAACATAAGTTCGACACCCTATTTATTAATACAGAGAAACTCCTAAAATATGTTAAATTACATTATTTTAGTTTGAAAACTGATATGCATTATATTTTATTACATTTAATATAACATAATACAGCATTAAAATTTAAAATACAACGCAATAATTTTAGGTCCTAATTCACGTACATGCTACAGTTAAACCGGCTTTGAAAGTTCAATTTTTAAACCATAGATTCATATTTCTACGATAATTTATTACCAATAATAGCTGTAATATATCCTTATTTGCAAAATAAAACAAAAAGTTGAATTGATTTAATTCTGCT